TATTTGGTTTTAAAAATTAAATTTATAATGGAAAAAGTATTAGTATAAAACAAAATCCAAGATTAATAAAACTATAGAATACAGTAAAACTTGTCTAAAACAGAAACCTGCTTAAGAAAATAGTAGAACATATTGAAAATAAAAATTAGTATTCATTAAATTATAAATATTTTAAATTAGAATGCATATGATTTTATTTATTGTTTATTTGCAATTGAACTTAACATAAATCACAGCTATTTTTCTTATTGGAAATGGGATGAATTGCAGTTTTATAAAACAATAAAAAGCTTTTAAATTTTTTAAATCGAGGGAATAAAGTACATTAAGTTTGTATAATAATAGTATTTTAATACTTATTTTTCATTAAAATTAGTAATTTGGCTTTTCATTTATGTAAAACAAAAATATATTGTCTTATATTTGTTATAGATGAGATGTTATTTACTCTTTAGGATATATTAAATATTAAAACAGCTTTAAATATTTAATATTAAATTTTTTCAAAACATTTATATAACCAAATATAAAAAGTCAACTAATCAAACTTACTAGGACTACAAATAAAAACAAATACCTTTTCAGATTTGATTTTATAACTTTTTATATTTCTTAAATATAGTGTTAAATAATTTCTAGTTTATTTGATATAATTAATACAGTACAAGTTAAATTGTGAAATCATTATTAAATTAATTAATTAATTAAAATTAAAGATTCAAGAAGACAATTTTCTTGTAATGGATTAATTTGAAAAAATGTTTCTCTTAAAATAATAGGACAATTTTTTCAAATGAAATAATTTATTTTTTGTTTTCTTTCTTGTTTTATATTATTAAATTGTCATATATGAAAAGAAAATTCTGGATGGAAGATTTAAATTGCCAGTCATTGGAGAATTGATCCAATATTCTACAAATTGAGATTATTGAGTTCAACTCATGCCAGTTGAATTCTTTGGGGTAGAATAGAATCTACTTATTGTAATCAAGAATATTATTGTGGTTGTAATGTTATTAGAATTAACATGTCCCAAAATATTTTATATATATTTTGGGACATGTTAATTCATTTATAACATTTTTGTTTACTGTAATTAGAGTTTCCATTATAATTNCCAAGATTTTTACATTTTTGGACTCTGGACTTTGAAATGTCCAGAAATGTAAAAACTTTGGGGTTTTTTCTGTGTGTGTGGAGACACAATTTTGTTCATTCTCTTTGTAGCTTAATAACTCCTGTGTCTTTTGTTGAAAATTTCTGAAATTTTGCAGGGAAGTTTGTATATTAGGAGGATTGATGCTATTAAATTTTGATGGTTAAAGGTTGGAGGGGTGGGGAGATAAAGGAGGGTCATGTGTCATATCTCAAGTAGGGTCAGATGTAATAATGATTTTACTTTGTTATTAGCATTTACAATTTTTTATGAAATTCATCTCTATCCTCAAAATTAAGCTTTTTGGCATTTTATAATAAATAAAAATATAAAAAAAATTTTGTAATAAAATATATAAAACAAGATGGTTTAAACATTTAAATATTTTAAATGTTGTTGGGAAAGTTAAGTAACTTGTTGCTGGATTTTTTTATGGTCAGAGAGAGTAAAATCTGAAATCTATAGAATGAAGATTTAGTATGGATGCAATCATTTGAGTTAGTGTGAAGTGGGTATGAATGGGTAGAAAACTTAAAAACAGAAGACAAACTATCAGTGATGAACATTGGAATGAGAGACCAGTTTGCATGGCAAGTCAATTGCCCTATATTGGTTCACTTTCTGGAAAAGGGTCAAACTGTGACTAATGCTTGATACAGTGACATGCTGGTGAACAAGTTGAAATCCACAATGTGATTGAAACATTTGGGACTTCTCTCAAAAGAAGTTTTGCTGCATGACAATGCCTGGCCCCACACGGCTATACATACAGTGGATATGCTAAGTGATCTGGAATTTGGGGTGATGAAACATGCAAAATATAGTCTGGACCTGGCATCATATTCATTTGTTGGAGCTTTAAAAGAACATTTGAGAAGTCAAAAGTTTTTCTGATTATGCCAAGATAATATAAGCAGTGCAAATTTGGTTAAAGCCACACAAAAAAGCTTTTTCCTTGAGGGAATGAGGAAGCTTATAGACTGATGAATTAAGTTCATTGTGAAGCAGGGTAACTATGTCAAAAAATAGGGCATAAATAGTTACATTAAGTAACCTTGTAAAAGCATTGTTATGGAATTCCTGTTTATTAAATGACTTTCCCTCATAGCTTATTTATTTATTTTATATTTAATCTGAACTGTCAATGAACAATAGGTTTCCACCTCCCCAAATAATGCAATTTACCCAAAAATACAAATAAAATTAACAAAGTAAAAAATTCTTTTAGTGAATTCAGTGTTTGAACTTTAATTTTCATGATTTATCATTGCACTTATGTTTATGTATTTAAGGTTTATGAAATGTGCAGGATACTTTTTTAGACTAAATATTTATCTAAATTATATTTATCCGTTACATGTTTGCATTTATTAAGTTATTTATTTTCAAACTAAAATTTGTTTGCATATTTTTATTTGGTTTTAAAAATTAAATTTATAATGGAAAAAGTATTAGTATAAAACAAAATCCAAGATTAATAAAACTATAGAATACAGTAAAACTTGTCTAAAACAGAAACCTGCTTAAGAAAATAGTAGAACATATTGAAAATAAAAATTAGTATTCATTAAATTATAAATATTTTAAATTAGAATGCATATGATTTTATTTATTGTTTATTTGCAATTGAACTTAACATAAATCACAGCTATTTTTCTTATTGGAAATGGGATGAATTGCAGTTTTATAAAACAATAAAAAGCTTTTAAATTTTTTAAATCGAGGGAATAAAGTACATTAAGTTTGTATAATAATAGTATTTTAATACTTATTTTTCATTAAAATTAGTAATTTGGCTTTTCATTTATGTAAAACAAAAATATATTGTCTTATATTTGTTATAGATGAGATGTTATTTACTCTTTAGGATATATTAAATATTAAAACAGCTTTAAATATTTAATATTAAATTTTTTCAAAACATTTATATAACCAAATATAAAAAGTCAACTAATCAAACTTACTAGGACTACAAATAAAAACAAATACCTTTTCAGATTTGATTTTATAACTTTTTATATTTCTTAAATATAGTGTTAAATAATTTCTAGTTTATTTGATATAATTAATACAGTACAAGTTAAATTGTGAAATCATTATTAAATTAATTAATTAATTAAAATTAAAGATTCAAGAAGACAATTTTCTTGTAATGGATTAATTTGAAAAAATGTTTCTCTTAAAATAATAGGACAATTTTTTCAAATGAAATAATTTATTTTTTGTTTTCTTTCTTGTTTTATATTATTAAATTGTCATATATGAAAAGAAAATTCTGGATGGAAGATTTAAATTGCCAGTCATTGGAGAATTGATCCAATATTCTACAAATTGAGATTATTGAGTTCAACTCATGCCAGTTGAATTCTTTGGGGTAGAATAGAATCTACTTATTGTAATCAAGAATATTGTGGTTGTAATGTTATTAGAATTAACATGTCCCAAAATATTTTATATATATTTTGGGACATGTTAATTCATTTATAACATTTTTGTTTACTGTAATTAGAGTTTCCATTATAATTATCATTAACTTCAGGTGAACTCAATATTTGGCTGATAACATGCAATTGTTATTAGTCATTACCATTATCAGTTTTACATTAAATGTTTAAAGTACTGGTTAAGACTTCACAAATATATTATTAATAAACTATTGCAAAAATAAAAGCACACAAATGATATTGGATGAATTATTATTAATAAATCTTCAACTTATAATTTTTTTAATTGTTTTTGCATACCCTTTTTATGACCTTTCAATAAATGTATTTTATCTTGTGATACGTGTAATTTATGTATGCATATATGCAAACACCATACCAAGATGATGATTAAGTTGGCTGAGTGATACAAAGGACCATGGATTTTAAGTTCTGCTCCAGATTAATTGATTTTTTTTCTAAAATATTCTAAATTATAAAATTTAATCCTAAAATTAATATAATTATTAATATTAGTACAAGATGGTGGGCTAACCATCTATCTTTAGTCCAGATTTTTTTAGTTACAAAGACTAATGTCTAGGTAAAAGATATCATGAAATAATCCAGCTTTCAAATTATTTAACCTTTCTAATGAAATAAATTAATAACCTGATGATAACTAGAAAATCATTAGTGTAGTTAATCATTTATTTAATAATAATAAAGATTTATGGTATAATAGAAATAAGTTGAAATAAATCATAAAATGCTATTGAATTAATCAATAGGCATATATAATATAAAATATATATTAGAAAAGATTTTAAATGGTGTATTATTTTCTCTGTTGTAATAAAATGGTCTCAGTTTTATTATGCTATCTATTATTATTTAACATGGAAATTGTAGCAAATGATATAATTTAATTATATAAAAATTTTAATTAAAATTTAATTTATAAAAAGTATTCTGCTTAATCTGCTTGAAATTATTTGTGAGGATTTAGCAATTATAAATTTCAAATATTACATATTTTATAGCTTTTGATTTTTTAAAATTATATTTTATTATATTAAAGACCTTCCTTAAGAAAAATAATGTAAAGTTATCAATAGATATATAACTTCAAAATATAGCTACTTGATAAGATGACTAAACAATCATTTTTAAAAAGTGTATCAGAAAATAAGTTAGAAGATGATAGTTTAAATTATGTGAAAACAATATTATTTGATAGTAGAGTTATATAGTGAAAAAATATTTTAAAATGTTGAAAAATGCATAGAGATATATTTATTATGTGCAATTCTATTTCTTTTTACATGTAGCAAATTGACAAAATAATCATATAAATTTAGAATATCTTATATCAGAATTAATAGTTTGTTTCAGTTTGTTCTAGTTATATTTTAGTAATGCTAAATTTACAAATGTAAAATTACATTAAATAAAATACAGAATGATGGAAGAAAAAGTAGTCCTCATCTGGTCTGAATCTCTGGTACTCATGTGTTACATAGAATGAACAAACTGCATCAGTTGAGTGGAACATTGTATTGACTGAACATTAGTGTCCCATATTGTGCAAATCCAAAAATAATACAGGAACTGGGATCAACATCAGCCATGTAATCATTACCATCAACATCACTATGCTATGTTGGGTGTTTCCATATGTGATTCAATGTTCACAACTGTTTACAGATGCAACAGGTAACCACTTCAGCATCTATGATGTTGATACCAGCAGTTGGTATCATCTGTGTTTTCACTACAGATTCTACAGACTCTGTAGTCAATGTTGTTAGTTATAGATCCATAGTCAATGTTGTTAGTTAATATTATTTTTAGTACATTTACCCTATATATAACCATTTGTATAACAACTTTATTGAATAAATTAACAAAACACAAATATGCAGTATAAATAATACATATATATGTATATTTTTATTATTAGTTATATTTAGAGAAAGATGGCAAGTCGTCAAGTTCAATCATGTACAAAAGGAAGAGGACACTTGACAAATACAGGTAGTCAAAATTATTTTTATTATGTTTTGTTGTAATTTCAGTTAATGACAATACAATGTACTCTTGCTGATCCAAACTAATTATTGTGCAGTGTTGTTTTGGTTATTGGAGTCTTATATAAAAAACAAGTCAAAAAGGATTACAGACATATTTGATCTATTTTTAAAAAGTAGTTCATTATTATTATTAATTTTTGTTAAGACATTTATCAGAAAAATAAACAAAATTGGTTTGGATCAGCATGAGTGTACTGTGTTTTTTTAAAAAAAATAATATATTACTATAAAAAGTAAGATGTTTTAATAATAATCTGTTTTATTATTTCAAAATCTAAGTTAAAAAATTGTACTAATAAAATGATTATTGATCTAGCTTTCTTAATATTATGTTAGATTGCATTATTACTAATTCCCTGGCTATTGGGTATTAGAACTGAGTAAGTAATTATAGTAATGATTTTTACAGCATAAAATATTTTATTAAAAAATTATTTAAAATGTAATAAAATTTTAAAAAATACATTGTTAACGAGCAATTATTTATTGTGACATTTTCACAATGCCAGGCTGCAATTTTTAATCATATTTTAAATGTATTTCATTTAAAATATATGCTCTCCACCTCAAATTAGTAGTGTCTTGCCCCTGTCTATCATATTTTTCCTTTAACAAAAGAGCTGTATTAGTAATCTATCTAATACCTTTCATGGGTAGATAAATAAACTTTGAATTGAAATAATGAGACTTCTGGTTTGCATTGCTTGTTTGTATATAGTTAATCAGGGCCTCCTGCTCCTAAGGTTTTAATATCTGGTTTCACTTTTCATCTATTTAACTTTGTTTTTGAGATTAAGGAAAGACAGACAAACAACAGTGAAAATTCATAGATCTACAATTTTTTTAAATTGCAGCCCAATAATGGAACAGAAATTGCATTAATGCAAGAATATTTACTTTCAAACTTCCAAACAGTAACTAAAGTTTCTAAAAACCCAACACCTTATTAATCCAGCAATATTTACTAAGTTAATAATAATGTTTTCGACTGTTTTAAACAGCCTTCATCAGTTAAACTCTTTCAAACTAAAAGAATGCTAAAAATAGAATACAAGCTTTTAAAAACTCAAATTCCAACGTAAAACGCAGTCGTATAACAAAAACGTACAAAAATTGCGCATATGATTCTTATCGGAATAAAAATAAAATAAAAATACACATAATCAAATTTTTTGCCGCAATAATGCCTATTATAAGTTTACCATTATGCGCTATGGTAAAACGATTTCCATGCGGTGGATAAATTATTGTGGCAAAAAATTCAATTATGTGTATTTTTATTTTGTTTTTATTCCGATAAGAATCGTATGCGCAATTTTTGTACGTTTTTGTTATACGACTGCGTTTTACGTTGGAATTTGAGTTTTTAAAAGCTTGTATTCTATTTTTAGCATTCTTTTAGTTTGAAAGAGTTTAACTGATGAAGGCTGTTTAAAACAGTCGAAAACATTATTATTAACTTAGTAAATATTGCTGGATTAATAAGGTGTTGGGTTTTTAGTCATACATTATCCAGTAAGTTCATTATTTGTTTATTTAACTAAAGTTTCTATATGAATGCTTTTCAGATAGCTTCAGTATTCTTTAATTATGTTGACCTGGAGATTTAGCTTAGTTTTTACTCAACACTGAATGAACTCAACATAATTCATTCAGTGTTGAGTAAAAACTTTCCTCCATAATCTGTATATATATATTAAAAGCAAAATGTTTTGCTCCTCACCAAAACTGAAACCAGCATGTAAGTAGGTCAAATTGGGTTGTTTGTGGGATCTACAATTTGTTTCTTGTTTTAGGCCTTGAAAGGCCACCCATTAACTTCTGTGGACTCATACAAGAAATACATTGGCCATACACGAGGTGTTTAGCCAGCAGAAAAGAGGGTACAGGAAAGGGGGAAGAAGAAGGGAAAGGAGATAGACAGTAGAGAAAGTTAGGATTCCTCTGAATGGCATATATAAGGCTACAGTCTCCTTTATGTTTGATGTTGGCATGCAGTTTTTAGGCTGCAAAGCTGTAGTCCCCTGAAGAGTCTAAAAGAAAACCTGAGTGTAGCGAACATTAATAATTGAGTGCTGCCACGAATAGCTAAGTGTAGAAATTAGTGCCAAGTGGCTGTTAGTAGAAAGACTTATATCTACTTAATACTAATAAAACTGAATGCAATTGCAAATCTTAATACTACTTAACAGCTAGACAGCGCGAACAAAAAATGAACACAATGACAAACTAGACGAGACGAATGGACCGACAGAAACAAATGAGTAAGACCCTAAAAGTTTTATTTTTATTTTATTTATTTTTTAAACATTAACTTACTCACTAACTAAACCATAACCTAGGACGAACCTAACCAGATAACTAAAGCTAACAAACCCTAATCTAATTTAACCTAATCGTAAACCAACCTAAGAGTCCCTAATCTAACTTATAACTAGGACTCAGCATAAATTCATAGAAAGGGTTACCCAAAGAGGAAGGAAGGTGTTTGAATAAGAATAGAAGACACAAAAAGACTACATTTTTGACTCAGATTTGGAATTGAAGAGATGCATTTGTTCCCATAGCAACTATTCTTTAAGTTTGAATAATAACCTTTGGTTATACATACTTATTTTTAGTTTTTATATTATTTTTAATAATATTTATCTGTATATACAGTATATTAAAAGCAAAATGTTCTGTCACTCCCATACACAAATAATGTAAATTTAAAAATTAATTTAATTTACAATTTGAAAATTTTAAAACAACTTTTAAACAGTTTTTAAACACATTTTAATTTTAGCTTTGGTTACAGTGTAAAGGCCAGAGTTTTAATTATTTTTTTAGTTTTAGTATTAATTTAGTTTTTATAATTATCTTAAACAAATCATTATTAATTTATTATTAATTTTTAAAATTTTGCCTGGATTTTTTGAACCTGTAATTACAATTCTTTTAATTAATTGCATTTGATGACACCTATAGAAATATTTTGTGTTGTATTACACAAAAGATAATCAAATTTAAATTTAGATTTTTTAGTAATTTCATTAATTTTTGTTTTATAAATTTGCCTGCTTTTTAAAAATTTAAAAAGTTTAATTTTAAGCAAGTTAACATTAATTGAACTATCAGGCTACCTATTTTAAATAAACAAAATATACTTTTGTCACTAAAGATGACTTTTTGCTTTTGTTTGGGTGTAAAAAATACTTGTTTCTTTTGAACTTTTGTCAGATGAGGTTTTTTTTGTGCTTTGGTTGCTTTATAACCTATCTCCTTCAAATAAAACTGTTGTTTTTGAAATGGGTTTTCCAATCACAAATTTCAATTGTTGTTACATCTGTTGCAAGTTTATTTTGTTTTACAATTTCTCTAATTGCTGATTTTTGTCATTTCTGAAGTAAATTTTGGATGACCGTAGAGTTTTTCAACATTTAAATTTACAGTTTCATTAAATTTTTTAATTATTTTTTGTATTTTAATCTGCAAACAATTTATTTTCCTCACTATTTCTTACTTCTTAGTAGTTTGTTTGTGTAAATCAAAAATTTTGGCTCTTTGATTCAGGGTTAATTATCATTTCTTGTTCATGGTGTTTATCCTGCTTTTGTGACAAATGCTGAATTGTAATTTATACAATACTACCTGTGATACAATTTACATAATTGCAGTAAATTACAAGCACTATTACTTATAATTTGACAATATTTACTTCATATTATTCTATACTTTTTGAATACAATTTCAAATATTCTAAAATTTTTGAACATATTGTGTTAAAGAGTGTTATGACTCTTTAACACTTTATTTAGAAATTAATATATTTAGATGAAAATATAGCTAAAAGACCAGGTTAAATATTCCTCCATTTAGTTTTTCATAATTTTTTTTCCACCTAGTTATTGTCATTCAATGCATTGACACATTGTGATGGAGTTAAATTATTCTAAAGTTTTTGAACTGACTGTATTATTAATATATTGATTTGCAAAATTATAATTTCAGTCTTGAGAGTGGGAAGTGAATGTTTCAAGAATTTTAATTAAAGGAATTATGCAATTCTTAACATATATTTTTTGTTTTTTTACATTATTAAATGTTATAATTGTGTTTCTAAGAAGATTAAAAGTTTCTGATTGCTTTCTTTCTCTTTAATTATAAATCTCAAATCTTGCATTAAAATAACATTACAATATTTAGTGGATATTTTATATTTAGTGTCATAAGGAATTTTTTCATGTATTATATGTAAAGATTTATATATTTCACTTAAGTTATGTAAACTTTCCCTTAAAATTTATTTGATATTTTCAGCTTCTGGTTCATCTATCGCAGATCCTCCAACCGATTTAGCTAGTTTATTTGAGTGTCCAGTATGCTTTGACTATGTTCTTCCACCCATTCTTCAATGTCAGAATGGGCATTTAGTTTGCTCATCTTGTCGTCAAAAACTTACATGTTGTCCTACATGCAGAGGCCCAATGGGTAAGATGTTTAAAAATTTTAATTTTTTTTTCTTGTATTACATATACAGAAAGTTTATTAATAATTGTTAATTTATTCACATTATTACAAATAATTATAAAAGATTTCAGTATCAATAAATAGTTAATATTATAAATCTTATTTTAATATGATGATTGTTTTGTAAATATCATATATTCAAAATCTAGCAGCAAAAAATATTGTTATTAAATGGAAAAATGCTTTTGATTCTTTCTGTTCAATTTCATTTACAGGAAATAATTCATATTATTTTAGAACAAAAAGTTTCAAATTTTAAAAAACAAACTTTTTAAATATTTAAAATTATAAAATATACTTAGTTATGTGAGATCCCAGGCTTTAGTCCTTTTTAAAAAAAGTATTTTTATAATTTAGTCAAAATAAATTTTAACAAAAAAGAAAATTTTAGAAAAAGAGAAAGGAAATAACAAAGATAACATTTCCTTTCTAACACAACTCCTTCTGGAGATAGTTACTTGATGTAGGAAGTAGTGGAGAAAAATTCAGATTGGTTGTTAACAACCTCTGATCTAACAACTCCATCTGATATTGCCATTTTTGGACATGTTCTGATTCAAGAAACAGACTCAAAGATATAAAAGGACCACCAAAAGGTCAACTAAGTCAACTAGTTATGCCCCAAGGAGACATATGATCTTTCCTATTTACAATGTCCAGTTCAGTGGTCATTCTTCAGTCTAGTTCAGCCAACTGGTCCTTGTTCAATCCTATCGCTCCTCAACCATTTCAACCATTACGAAAGTTGTCCTTTGACCCAGTAACTGCCACCCAGAAGGAAATAGAAGACTGATAGAAATGGAGAATAAATAGAGAACTTTTGATTCAAGAGAAATAGTTGTCATTGAAGATATTTATCCATGCACAACCCAATGCAAACTCTCTCTCTCACAAACAGTAGTATTTAGTTGTTACGATAGCTTTGAAGTAGAAATCAATAAACGTGTCATTGATAAGTATAGCCATTTTATTGTCAGGTGTCTTTATGTAAAGTAGAATTTATTTTAGTTTGTATAAGCATAGAAAAATATGTGCTTGTCAATAAACATAGTTTGTTATAGTATAATTTTGTCATTGAGTGCATTTTATTCTGGACCTCCTTGTCTCTCATCTTCCCTCCTCTATCCGCCCACATTCAGTCCACTTGCATTCAGAAACGCATGGGAAAAATTTCAAAGGTTTTTGTGTTTTCAAATAAAAACATGGTGGTGCTTTTAGAGAATAAAAAGTATAATAAGGGGTGTTTCTCAGATTTCACAATTATATAAATTTTTAACTATGGTGTTAGTGAATTTATTAAAATCATAATTATCATAAATTAATAAATTTTAAATAGTAGTAGTAGTAGTAGTAGTAGTAGTATTTTATTGATACAGCTTTTGCTTTTACAAAGTTGAGTAAATACAAAACTGAAAATTTACAGTAAATTTAAAGATTGTACAAAAAAAGTTTGATTTTAAATCTTTGTGAAATATAAAATTTATTTTCTGACAAAAATCATATGAAGTAAACAGATGATTCTTCATATTTTCCATTCTCAGACCACAAGAACACTCAATTTTATCTACTGGATTAATTCTTTTTCATTCAAAAGAAAGTACTGCCTGCTGCTGCCTGGCTCAATCTGATTTGAGATGAATTGGAAATAGAGTAGAAACGAAATTTTAAACAATGTCAGAGTGAAGAAGGTAAAGAGTAATAAAAGTAAAAAGTTTAGAAACAAGGTTCTGGACAGAAAGTAATTAAAGAAAAGATGTTAGAGAAAGATAAAAATCTTAAGGGAATGAAACAAACTTTGGCTACTCTAGAGAAAGCTCAGAAACAACCTATAAATAATTCAAAGGTGGGAGTTACATAAATACATATTATTTAGCAACTGACTCTCATCCTCATAGGAAATATAAGGAAGAGAGAAGAATACCTGTTAGAGAACAAAATGTCATAACAGTGGAAAATAAGGAAGGTCTAGAGCTTGAGAAGCTATGAGACCCAGAAAAAGTTGAGGAATCAGAAATGTTAAGGAAAAAAAAAAAGGAAAAACAGAAAACAAATCAATTTCAAGAGCTCATGAAAAGATGATTTGTGAGAGAACAGCAAATGGTAACATAGAGTCAAGTTACACTAAACAAAAGCCTAACCCCAGAAATCTCACAATTGTAATCCCATACATATGTAGTGAGACTTAATGTCAATCATTTTAGCTATCCTATATATAACACTTTTAATAAGAGAATGCAGTCTCAGCAATTTGAAAAGAGAAAATTTAAGTATTATAGCTAAACCAAATATTATTGGTTATCACTTACTATCAATTTCACAATCAGTTCCTAGTTGAGGTAAAAGATTTTTTTCTAAGTTATATTCAGGAAGCAATTGTGGAAACAAGGAAATTGTTGATACAATTATGATAACAGTAAATAACTCCAAAAACTTCCTACATGAGAAATGGGATAGAAATTATTATCTACTATAATATAGTACTAGATAAGTCATAAAGAGAGAGAGAGAGAGAGAGAGAGAGTATAATTAAGAAAAAATTTTTGTATAACCATCAAATAATATCAAAGAAAAAAAGAGAAAAAAATTTGTTGGTTCTGTTGTGTGTATTGATAATATCCAATGTGTAAGTTGTAATATCTTGTGTTTGCCATATCATTGAGGCAGAGTGTTAGCAAAGCCTTTGCTATGTAGCTTACAGAATTGTGTTCATACTCAAAATCTGTTTGATTGATTTTGATTAAATTTTGTCATTTTCTATTAATTGCAATGAGAAATCCAAAAATATATTGAGGGTCCATTTAAATGTAAAAAAAATAGAGAGTCCATGACTTCATTTTCAATATACAGAGGTATTAAAGTGACAATGTCTGTGCTCTGATGCCACATAGGAGATTTTTTTACTCCTATGCCTAAATTCTGTTAGGCCTAGGGCAGGCATGGCCAACATATGGCCCGCAGGCTGGATGTGGCCTGTGTAGTGTATTTATGTGGCCCATGATTAATATTTCAATATTAGCTACTGAAGTCAGAATAGATTGGTGAAAAGTTCTAACGCCTAAAGAAAGATAAAAATCAACAACTCACTGTCTGGTTAGAGTTAACCCTCCATTACAAATCTCTTAAGTACAGCATAGAACATTGATAAAGCATGATAATGTGAAAAATGTATCTGTAATCTTTATGTAAAATTTAGTCTCTACGGGTTGACACCACAATGAGATCTTGCACCACCCCAAAATCTTCATAGGGCAGCCTCTGGTTTGGCCCGTGAAAAAAGTTTTCTTTTCAATTCGGCCCAGGGGCAAAATTATTACTTATTTTGCAAANACGTTGAAGATCAAAGTAAGATATTTTTATTTAATAATTGAAATTCATTTATTAAAATGATAATAAAACAAAGTTTTAATATATATTTAATTTCTGTGTCTTGAATTATTTATATTGTTATATACTTTTAAAAAAAATAATGTATATTGATGATATTTCTTTAAAAGATTATTTTAGAGGAAGACAAATGCATTATTTAATTATTTTAAAATTAAAATATTGCATTTATATATAAAGGGAAAAAGTTTAAATTATACTCAAATTGATAAATATTAAATAAATATTTTTAATAAAAGTTTCTGTATTAGATCCATTCAAGTATTACATCGGCAAAATGTCACTTTTTTGATCCTCCCTCTCCATCATCACTAGTCATCAGAAACCAATATACCAACCTTCAAAAGTTAAAACTATTTGCAAATACACAAAAATTATTTTCAGACATTTTTTGACAACTGGGAAGAAAGATAAACACCCTCCTTCTCCCATCGTCAGCAATTGTCGGATACAGAAAAATCCCCCTCATAAACTACTGACATAATACTTGAATGGGTCGTTATTCATATATAGTATAACTTTATATAAAAATGTGGTTATTACATTATCAGTTATATAAATTTTCATTAATGTTGTGGTTTGATTAACAAATTGAAAACTTTAAAAAATAAATGTGATTCTGTTACTATTAATGGATTTGAATGATCATTTTATAGTTTTTATGCTTTTTAATATCACTTTTCAATATGTAAAGAGAAAACAATGTTGATATTTCAAACTTGTTATATAAATTTTCATTAAGTATGTGGTTTGATTAACAAATTGAAAACTTTAAAAAATAAATGTGATTCTGTTACTATTAATTGATTTTAACATGTATATATAATTTTTCTGTTTCTATATGATTTTATATTAGTTTTCATGACAATCTGAGTTACCAATGAAGTTATATTAATACTTGCACAGTGCAGAAGACATAATCTGCAGGAAGAATGTTTTTGATTACATTGTTCTGAAAAGAACAATGTAATCAAATTTACATTGTTCTGAAAAGAACAATGTAAATACAGTCGATCCCCCCCATANATTCAATTATAGTATTAATATTTAATATAGTTTATAATACTTTGCATTTTATCACTAATTAAAATACTTCAAAACTTTGGAATGTGTTTACTTTTTAAAGTTATACAACATTGAAAATCTCTCAAAAATACTAAATTATTATTTATTTACAATTTCTTGATGTAGCTAAAGTATAAGCTGAAAGCGCTTGAAATATGTAGATATTAAAATAATGTTTTAGCTTACTTTCTATAAATTGTAATATAATTATGAATTATGCAAAACTGTCATATAGTTTGAATGTAATTGTAATTTTTACAGGGAATATACGTAATTTAGCAATGGAGAAAGTGGCTAGTACAGTAATGTTCCCATGTAAATATTCTGTATCTGGCTGTACAGTACAGTTGCTTCATACAGATAAACCAGAACATGAAGATGCTTGTGAATTCAGGTTTGTGTTTATAAATTTTGGATATACAAATTGAACCTCCATAATCTGGCAACTTTGGGATCTGGCTTTTGCTGGATTATGGAAATTCATCTTCAAGACCCCCTAAGAAAATCACTTACCTAACAATATGCTTACTCTTTATATATAATGCAGTGTTATCAAATGTAGAATCAAGCTTAAAACAAGAAGTAATACTACCATTAATGTTCCAGACAAGGTTTTTATTGTTTTATGTAATTTAAAGCCTAAAATCAAAAATAATACTTGTAGTACCTGTAGCTCAGATAAAATGGTCAGTAGTTTATCCAGGATTAGCAGTGTCTTCAAGGTATGTACAGTCGACCCCCCTATAATTACGGTCCCTATAATTACGATTCCTATAAAACTACGAAAAAATATACGTATTTTGGAAATGTTGAGTCGGATTAGTGTAGAATCGATTAATTTTATGGAAGAAAACCTTTCAATCAGCCGTAGTCCGTAAACTTGGCACATGTCGGGCTGTGATTGGAACGACTTGTAAGAAATCGGATTCCTAATAAATTGGAACGTATCTATATCTTATAGGGGGGTTGACTGTATACAATTCAGGCAAAAGAGGTGCAGTAAGTGGATTTCTGTGTTAGAATGAGTAATGGCAGTGTTATTAGTGATCTTCATCCACTGTTGCAATGTAGCTTGCTTCTAGTACCTTGCTTTTTATTTTTATTTTGGCTTTGAATCAAATAAATAGACAAAACAGATCTGAACTAGTGGTAGCAGCTTTCCATATTATAAAAGTTTATAAAACATATAGTATATATGTTTTATAAACTTTATAAATATAAATATAGGATTTGAATGATCATTTTATAGTTTTTATGCTTTTTAATATCACTTTTCAATATGTAAAGAGAAAACAATGTTGATATTTCAAACTTGTTATATAAATTTTCATTAAGTATGTGGTTTGATTAACAAATTGAAAACTTTAAAAAATAAATGTGATTCTGTTACTATTAATTGATTTTAACATGTATATATAATTTTTCTGTTTCTATATGATTTTATATTAGTTTTCATGACAATCTGAGTTACCAATGAAGTTATATTAATACTTGCACAGTGCAGAAGACATAATCTGCAGGAAGAATGTTTTTGATTACATTGTTCTGAAAAGAACAATGTAATCAAATTTACATTGTTCTGAAAAGAACAATGTAAATACAGTCGATCCCCCCCATAACACTGTTGATTATTCCATTTTATATGAATTCCATGTTGTACGAGTCACTTAGGTTTTACAAATACGTGAGCCGTTTACAGCCTGGCACACATATTTGTAAAATCTAAGTGACTCGTACAACATGGAATTCATGTAAAACTGAATTATCAACAGTGTTATAGGGGGGTCGACTGTATAAGAAGCAATTATTTATTGTGACATTTTCACAATGCTGGGCTTAAATTTTTAATCATATTTTTAATTAATTTAATTTAAAATATAAGCTCTCTACCTCAAATTAGTAGTGTCTTGCCCCTGTTTGTCACACTTTTCCTGTTAGCAATTGAGTCATGCTGGTCATCTAACTCCTTTCAAAAGAAAATTTTTGAATTGAAATAATGCGAGTTCTGGTTTGGACCAAAAGTTCGTATATATTAATAGTTAAATGGGACTTCCTGCTCTTAAGCTTTCCATATCTGGTCTCAGCTTTCATTTATCTAATTCTGTTCTTGATATTAAGGACAGACAGTCAGACGACAGTGAGAATTTATATGTCTGCAATTATTTCAAATTGCAGGCCAAAAAACAAACAAATGAAAAAAGCAAACAACTTTTGTTGAAAACATTTTTTCATTTTATTTCCATTTTTACAAATATTATAAATTATAAGTTATAATCTGGAAATTGTTTGGCTTTAATATATAAGATTTTGGGATAATTGTTAGGCAAACCAGCATCAAAACAAAAACAAACTTTCATGATATTCAATTAAACCGTTGCATTTAAAAATGTAAAAGTAAATTTAATTTAAATTTGTTTGTAATTTTTTTTTTACATTAAGTAAGATGTCATCAAAACAATTATGATTGTTGTTTACAAAACCAAGATGACTTTCAACTAACCTTGAAGATATTTACCAAATTCAAAATAAATAACATGGTTTCCTTTCCCCGTGACAGCCAAACAAGTATTGTTTACATTTTTGTCTCAGATGTTTTGTTTTTAGGATACTCTGATGTTTCAACTTAAATGATTCATCCTGTATATTAAAATAAACAAAACAATAAAAAAATTGAATATGCTTCAATACATATAGTAACAATGCATTTGGAAATTATCAAAGAAAATACAATAAATAAAATTATTTTTGCTACATATGCATACAAAGACACATTTAAACAACTACTGTATATATTTAAATATGTCTTTGTAGGTGTATGTTTATATTTTGGATAAGAAAATCATGTAGAAGTAATACTGAGAAAGTCATTTTATTCTTTAATGCTTATAATTAAGATTTTTAATATAAGATAAAAGTAACTATATTTTTCTATAGAAAAAATGTTTTATTTAAAAAATTTTTTATTTATTGCAATACAAGACAGAATTTCATAACAACTGTTAACATTCAAAATTTTAAAAAGATTTAAAAATAGTATCTCCAATATTTCAGTTATAATTTCATAATTAAAGTAATTGTAAAAAATGTTCAAAAAATCAAAACTGGGTAAAAAATTTAATATTCAGTTAATAATGGAATAAGTATAATGAAATTTAAATGTATGAATAACATAACTTAGAATAAAATCATTTTGTACTTATTTTATAAATTGTTTTAGTATGTTTAAGAATAGAAATATGAGAACCTGGAGTTGAAGGGAGAGATTTTAGTAAATTTGTTAAATTGATATTTTAAATATTATTTCAAATTAATTTAATAGAAAATAATTTATCTTTGTGAAAGGAAGCACTTCCTTTGTGTGTGGAGAGAAACAACTTAGTTCCTCCCAAAATGATAGTTGAGTATGATATCTCATTCAACTATCGGCCAAAAGCCCGCCTGACTTCCTCCTGTCAGAAGCATAGTATGAGGTTTGAGCAACCTTACTGGATGTCAATTCCATATAGAAGGGCAAAGGTACCTTTAACCTTGCTTTTGTATACATTAGTTATTCTCTAGCCTTGCTATAATCCTCATTCTCATTTGGCACCCTTGCCAAGTGCCAGTGTCTTCAGTCAACAGACTCCCAGTTCTCAATCTCCAGATGCTTTACACATTCTCAACTCCATCACTTCAGACATATGTTAACGTCAGGTAACAATGATCATATCTTGTAAACTATCTGAAGTTAGATTATATTTTGTGTTTAGGTTTGAAATCCTCTTTGATTGTATTGAGTAATGACTTACTTGTTTGGTCTCATTTATATCTAAGATGCTTGTCATTTATAGGCTTTAGTAATAGTTATGTTTAAATAAATACATTTCATTATATTCTAAATGTTGTTAAATGACTTATTGCCTAACTATATCGTCGACCTCATGTAACTCATTGAGCAAACCCTCCTAAGTTTCTGGTAAAGAGTCATTAAAATCTTCATCCACTTGGAACATAAGGCAAAATTTAACATGTCTTAATTTGCATAAATAACTAAATGGTTTCAGGCTGATGAGAAAGAAAGACCTTAATGATCTTTCCTAAACTATAATAATAATACTTTACCATCCTGATAGTGAGCAGGTATAGGCCAGAACAGACCCCAATCTCACATTTGGTGTCATCGAAGTGGGATCAAAAATCCTCATTTTCACAGAAATGTGTTGATTAAATTATCTAACAGAAAACTGTTTTTGTAAAAAAAATAATAATAATAAAATTATTTTAAATATAAATGCTTCTAATATAAAAAGTTATAGAAATTAAAATTTCTTTATGAAATTTATTCCTTTATCTGTTGGTATACTAATGTAAAGCTACTACATATTTTATTATCAAAAGTGAATACATTTTCAAAAAGTTTTTGAACAAAAAATAACATTTTAAAATTATCATTATCATTTGTAATGATAATTCAGTTTTAAAACTTGCTTTTAATAATGAAATTTTAAATGAGATTGTTATTATTTATTTTGAAACAGTTTTAAAAACATAAATCTCATCTTCATATATTTTTTAACATTCTAAATACTTTGAAACTAATAATTAAATGAATTGTTTAATCCAAAAGCCACTGCTATTTTTATGTTTTCAAAAAATATATATTTTATATGAAATGTTTTCAGCTTAATGTAAGCCATATTATTTCCAACATTGAATATACAAATGGAATGATATAGAATAAAATGTTCCAAATTTTAAATTGTAAAAAATATTCCATTTTGTTTGTATTCAGTGCAAATAATGATCTATATTAGGTTGAAAATAATTCATATTTAATATACTTTTTTGGTAACCTGAAAATAGCAGTACTTTTTTGATTCATTAATTATTATGGTGCCAAGTATAATTATATTTACAGATAAATGAATTACTTCATACAGAAAGGATGCTTTCTATTCAACTATATCAATTATAAATATTTTATATAAAGCAAACAATGCATATATATTTAGTGGAATACCAAGACTAAAATAAGATTAAATATATATGGATTGGAATAGAACTAAGAATGAATTAATATTTAGTTAATGTACTAGAATGAATATTAATGAGAATTTTATATATTGTGAAAAATCCATTTTTCAATGTTTTATGAATATGTTCTAAATTATATTCTAAAATAATTTTGTATATATGCTAACTTATTTCTAATTTTTTTGTAGGCCATATTCATGTCCATGTCCTGGAGCATCCTGCAAATGGCAAGGCTCTCTGGAACAAGTCATGCCTCATCTGTTACACTCTCATAAATCAATTACAACATTGCAAGGTAGGCATTACATCTTAGTGATATTACTATAGTTTTATTTCTAATACTGCTTGTATGTTAATTCTTTATTTCTTTAAAACTAACAGTTACTCTATAGATATGTACTATATTATATTTAACATTAAAATTTAAACAAAGGAATCATGAATGTAATTAAAAAATATTGTCTCACTTTTCTTCTGAAGAATCAGAACTAATCAAATAGAAGTCTGTCTGAAGTAATATTCCTGAGTTATAATCCAAATCATTCAAAGAATATATATTTGTAAAGTATGTTCAGTAATATTTCCATATATCTTGTAGAAGATTTGGAGATATTACAGAATCAGAAAATTACACAGCTTTATAAATCACATGAAAGATATTGTGAAATATTGTGAATGAAATGTGAAATAACAGAACATAAAATCAAAATTTTATTGCATATAATAATTTTACAAAAATATATGAAATCCTTTAAAAACAAGCATTGTACTTGTAAAACATTGATCCAAGGATATGTTCTTTAATCTTCAAAATGTCTCAGAATACAAAAATAGCTATATATAAATAATTTGTGCAAAATCTTGATATAATAATAGCATGCTAACTATATACAAATTAAATAAAATAACTTTTTAAATTAAATTCTAGTCTTGGTCTTCTGCAATACTAACAAAAACCTACGTATTACACCAAAGCATAAAATCACTTTTTAGTTAAATAATTAAGATGATATAACATCTTGAATTATCTATTTTATGTGTATTTTAGTTAACAAAACATTGCATTTATATAATTTGAAGCTTATATATTTCCTTGTTAATCTTTACTGTAACAAGTTAATAAAAATATGTATTATTTATATTAAGCAATGTATCCAAAATTTATTATGAATGATAGTATAACTTTTATGTATACTGAGAAATTAAACTAATAAATTTTTTAATGCTATTTAAATGGTCTTGTGGGTCTTTTCACATTCCAATACAATTTTTTTTTTTTTTTCAACTAAGACAAATTTTTATACAGTGGAACCTGATACAATGAACAGGTAAGGGATAACTAGGTTTAGTGTTTTTGTATCCGAAGTTCATTATAACCATGTATCAAAAGAATGATTAAAATGCCTTGAAAGTTGCAATAATTCATTCAATATTCAACAGAACTGCATTTATGAAACTCTTTTATTGTCCATTATGACTAACTAATTTTGTACAACTTCAAAAAAAATCTCTAATTGACTTTTGTTTGTACTTGTTAATGAGATTTTCATTTAGCACTTTCTCCAATTATCAAACATTGTTTGAGAATATATCTGCATCTGATTCTTCTTGAAATTTGGTAAATCCCATATTCGTATTATTTCCAGTGCCTTCTTGACCTTTTTAGTGACCTTCTGAATAGGAACAATTGCCTTGCATTCATTGCTTTCTTTTTCTTTTTCCTCTTCATCTTTCTCCATTTTTTCTTCTGTGGCAATCACAGATTGCAAAATTTTTTCATCTGTAAGGGCTCCTTCTGTAGCAAGATAATTGTCAAAACTGTGAATGTGACTGAATACAAAAGGGTAAAGAATTCTAGGTTAATGAGGAGTGTGAGTCATTGGCTACATTAATGTCAGTAACTAATATAGTATGGTACTTTCTAGTAAATAACAAATATTTTCTAGGAAAAGGAACAGCACATGGTTTACCAGGTAAACTCCAAAAGTTGGAGTTCACTGTGATTGAGGTCACTCTAACAGAGGTTCATAATAATTGGTTCAATGTAACAGAGTTTCCATTATAACTGTGTTCACTATATCTGATGAAAAATGCATTAAAGACATAGCAGATTTGCCGGGATTAGACTGTTCAGTTCAATAAAACCAGCGTTACATTATATCTGAGTTCATTGTACGAGAGTTCTACTGTAAAAATTTATGTTTTGATTAATATTAAAAAATATAAACAATTTATCAAAGGATATTTTAATTCAAACTTGGATAGTTCAAAATCCCATTAGTTTGTAACTACTTTTATCCCAGCTGAGGATATAGAAATTTACATGTTAAGAAATTAGTTCAAAATGTGACTATTTTGAAATTTGAAGTGAAAATTCTGTTTGAACTGTGATATGCTTATGTTAACTCATTCATTAGATTGAAGTGTCTCCATATTATAAGAGAACAATAGACCAAGAATAACTCTAATATGGACAATATGGCTTTGCTTTTACAGTAACACATTTTCGGGTGTCATCTTACTCATGGAATACATTTTTTCTCTTATCTCATAAAATATTGCTAGGTAAGATTGGGCTACAAGTAGCAGATTCAGATATTTGTAGGTCTAAGGTACTAGATTTGAGCAACTTACTACTATTTGAGAAACTTTAAAAATAATTTGGGCTACATTTTGAGGAATCCTGCTTTACTTTTTATAAAACCTCTCTGGTAACGTAAGATTCTTGTCAGACATCTGCTGTTTACCTGCAGTTTATTTATATTATTATTATTATTATTGTTAATTAATGAAAATAATGTTCTGTATACATAACGCTATTCCATTTGCTTAATAAAGTACATCAGTCACATGACTTTTAGCGTATTATACAGAAAAATGTGAATCTTGGATAATTGGAAACCCAATAATTTGAAGTTGTGATTATTTTGTCCCTTGAGTTTCAAATTAATGAAGATTTTCTGTATTTTGTATTTTCTTTTTCTTTTATTCATAAGTTAAAGTCTAAGATAATGTTTTCAATCAAGTTGGCATCATCTATGTCTTCTGTTTAGTTGGCAACTTTGTTTAGAATCCTACAATATAATTTACACTTCAATCAGGACATACATTGGGGAAAATGTTTTAAGACACGTTTGATAGTTTTTCAATACTAATATATATGATTATCTGCTTATTATACAATTACATTTTAGCAATAAAATGTGTAATAAAGTTAGGAATTTATTAATAACGATTTAAATTTTTAAAAATTTGGAAAAAATATTCAGATTAAGGTGACTAATCTGATGATTAACCATTATTTTAATGTTTTAATAGAAACTTTTAACAGTTTTTTACTATAAATTATTTTTATATTTTTAATTTGGGTACAATAAAATAAAAAATTAATAAATTATGATATTTTCTATTGATTATTGAATTTTTTTTTTATATTTACTTTTATTATTTGATACTGAAGTGTTTGATGATATGGGATATACATGTGGAAACTTATTTTTATTAAATACTGTAATCAAATTCAAATAAAATAAATGATCCAAAATTTCTTAATACATGTTACATTTAAAGTTAGAACAAATAGATTATTAAGAAATCTTTATATGTTTATATTTAAACAGAAAAATTCTCCAAACATTTCAAGGAGCTAAAATAAGTGATATCTATTTCTGTTTCATTTCAAAAGCTTTTTAAAAACAAATAATTGCTGGTATTTCCTGTTTTTAATTCTTCTTATCTACTAATGAAGTGCATATTTTTAGGTTAAGAAACAAGAAACTTTGAGGTAAATTTTGGTGGAGATGGGATAGTGACGTGTAGAGTTCCCTCAGTAGGTTCTAGATTTAATATTTCAATATTTTTAATAAAGATTTTCTTTTGTATGTAAAAATCTCTTTATACAAGTAAAATGATTGATTCTCATCTGCTGATACCAGCCAGCAGTGCAGACTGTTTGATTCAATATTCTGAGTTGTTGGCTGTGGCAAATTTTTCAACGTCTGGGTTTCTTTTTAGGCTTGTCACTAATTTTTCTATTGCAAATCCTTCCAGCTTATCTAGCACATTTATGATGATTTCCCACTGTCTCTTTTGCTAAATTTTTTCCTAGACTTATTATTCCACTATATAAAAAAAAAAAAGAATGAATTGCATACATTTCCATTTGATGAGCTTCATTTTTATTGGCATGAGATATGAAAAAATCTACAACTTTCTTGTCAAGTTCAGGGTTTATAGTTTAAATTAAGTTTGGATTTTATTTCCCCAAGATCAAATGCTGATAATCATCAAAACATTCTTAGAAATTATTTTTTGAGCTCAATAATATAAACTTAATATTTCAGCAAGATAGATGGTGCACATTCAACTGTGGAATGGTTAAGAGAGAAGAGCATTAAAACATTGAAATGAATGACAAGCATTTACTCCTAATCTCAACCCATTAGAGAATCTTTTGGATAATTTTGCAGATATAGTGTAAAGTGCTGAAAAGCAGTATAATAGTGTCAAGGAACTCAAAACAGCCTTAATCTCTGCTTGGAATAGTATTTCCTTGAACACTCTTATCCTAACAAACTCTGTCCTTGCATTTAATACATATAATTGAATGTGTAAGGAAAGCATTGTGATTATTAAACAATGCAGTTTTTATTTTATTTGTAACAACTATAATATATTAATTTAACTTTTAGCCAGTGCATTATTACAGAAGAAAATTTAAACTCATTACTTTTTCATAAATACTGTATATTAATTAATAACAAACAGTGAAACTTATTAAAATATATTTATATTTGCATGCTTTGTTTAGTTATCCAGTTATAACTTTCCTGAAACATTTTATTGAGAGAATCATGTAGATCATAAAGATATTTTATCTTGCTCTTCCTATACTGTAATTGTAAATTGTTTAACAAATTTCAATTTAAAGTTATGATCAATTGTAGTTGTAAAGATCTTTTATGTACACTGTAGTCTGTATGTAAACATCTATGCCTTATATAAAGGATATTTTTTGAACAAATGGGCTGTAATGAATTCACCATTATTGAAAAGTGGTTAGAAACAATTTTGAAATCAGAAATTGTTGTTTTCTTACATAATATCTATTGAACAATTCTTTTCAATTATTAATATTTTCTTACTAAACATTTTAATTTATACTTATAATAAATTTTATTTTCAGGAATTGAGAAAGCTATGTGGTATCCCCATCTTATTTCTTTCTACATGCTCTTCTGAATCAAATGTTTAAGAATCTTTAGCTCCTTAAACTTGAAGCCTAAAATTTTTATC